ACCATTGGGTAATAAATATACAAGAAACAAATTGAAACCAATGTGGCTTAGTAGAGAAGTAAAGAAAATAGATTAAAAATAAGATAAGGGCATTTAAAGCATTTAAATCGGACAAATCAGAGGCATCCTATTAAAGAAATAAGGAAGCCAATAATGCGTGCAAAAAGGCGATTAAAGTGGCTAAACTTGAAAATGAGAAATTGATAGCCAAAGAATGCAAAACCAACCCCCAAACATTTTTCAAGTACATCAATTCTAAAAAAAACAAAAAAGGAAAGTGTAGGTACACTGAAAACAGAGATAGGTCTGTTAGTAAATGAAGACAAGGAAAAGGCAGAAATGTTAAATAACAATTTTTCTACAGTATATATTAACGAGGATCCTATGGCAAGAGATATGCAAATGATTGCTGCAAAAAACTTGCAGATAACTTGTGAATGGATGACTCGAGACAAGGTGCTACAGCAGTTAAAGAAAATTAATGTAAATAAAGCTCCAGGGCCTGACAGTATTCACGCATGAGTACTTAAGGAGCTAAGTGGTGAAATAAGTGAACCTCTTTATTTAATCTGTCAAGATTCTTTTGTTTCAGGTATTGTTCTGGAGGATTGGAGGAAGGCAGATGTATTTCCAATATTTAAAAAGGGTTCAAAATCCTTGCCTGGAAATTGTAGACCTGTGAGCTTAACTTGTGTGACTGGGAAAATATTTGAAGGGCTAATAAGGGATAATATTCAGGAATTCATTGGGAAGGACTTGGTTATTAGCAATAATCAGAAGGGTTTTATGAAACACAGGTCATGTCAAACAAACCTAATAGCATTCTATGAAGTCGTAAGTAGAAGTATAGATCAGGGTGTTGCAGGGGATGTGATCTACTTGGATTTTGCCGAAGCATTTGATACAGTTCCTCACACAAGGTTTGTCTTCAAACTAAAATAAATTGGTCTAGCTGAATATTCTTGTTCTTGGATATGACATTGGCTGAAGGATAGAGTACAACGAGTTGTCATTAATGGTAAATTTTCAAGCTGGACAAAAGTGGTAAGTGGTGTCCCTCAGGGTTCTTTTCTGAGACTGCTTCTATTTAACATATTTATAAATGATCTTGAAATAGGCATTGAAAGCCATGTTTTAGTGTTTGCAAATGACAAAAAACTTGGTAAAGTAATAAATTGTGAGCATGATATAGCTTTGCTGCAGGGGGATTTAGATAGATTGGGGGACTGGGCACTAAAATGGCCGATGAAATCGAATATAGAGAAATGCAAAGTTATGCACTTTGGGGCCAAGAATGCACAAGCAACTTACACCCTAAGAGATGCGACACAATAACCACAAAACAGCAACGATGAAACAGTCCAAACCAAATAGAACAGGAGAAACTGGAACCGAACCACCAGTAATAACCAGGATTCAAACAGTCAGGGGCCCATCGCAGCAGTGTCCATAAATTTCCGGCCCACTTGGTGAAGCCGAGAGAGAAGTGATGAAGACCCTTGATCAACAGTGAATCAACCTGTGAAAACACAAAAGACAGGAGCTGAATGGTTAAATTGATACTTGAACCAAAGTGCGCATGCCAAGACATAAGTTTATAACTAGACAGAAGCAACACAGTGTGCACAATTCATCACTGGCATTTCGAATAATCACGTAACATGAACAGGTTAATAAACGGTTGAAACTATCCAAAACCCAGAGCGCATCATGAATACCTACCAACCCTGGAAAACCTTTAGGAGAGAATAAACAACTGGGTGGGGTAAATCAGTGAAATAACATAGAAGGGTGGGACAATACTCGCCTCCATGTCTTTCATAAAATCATGACTTTTTGTCATAAAATAGCAAAATCATTACATTTTATGTCAAGACACGGAGGCTCATATTGCAAGTTTAAAGCTGATCAATAACCCTAGAAAAAACGTGAGGCAGAGGTCAAAAGTAAAACTCACGAAAAGTGGATTCGCGGGACCAATCGGCCAGCCTCATCAGGTCTTCCAGATGTGCACCTGAATTCACCATGTACATGGCAGCTGCCCCTCGGGCTGAGTGGGCACCGAAGATGTGCGTATCCACGCCAGCAAGAGACATCACCCATTTCACCCAGCGAGCCAATGTAGTACTGGACACAGGGGACAAGGGGTGACAAAGTGAGAGAAAGAGCTGGGGAGATGACATTACATGATGTGCACTCATCCGAAGTTCATATTCCCGTAAGCAGGCCACCGGACGTAGGGCCGGAGTACCCGGGAAGCTCAAATAAGAAACCGATCGAATAGAGGTCTTGGTGCGTCTGGAGATGTTAAACATCACCCCGTCCAGAGTGAAAGACCTAGCATCATAGTCCAGGGCACGAACATCCAACACCCGTTTGCATGAAATGAGACAGAAGAGGGAGACCAACTTGGCCAACAGCTGTCGTAGGGAGAGCTCCGCATTAGGCGGCCAGGAGGATAACAGCGACAAAACGCCGGAAACGTCCCAAGTAGTGGATTAACGAGGTCTAAGGGGCCGTGACAGGTGTGAGCCCCTAAGTAAGCGGCACACTAACGGATGTTGGCCTGCTGGGCAGCTGTCAAATCCTTGGCGAGCCGAGGAGATGGCCGATCTGTACAAATTAATTGTGTGATATGCCCGACCAGCTTCAAATAATGGTCATGAATAGAAAGATCTCCGTCACAGGTGCTGAAACGGGATCCAAGTTCCGAGCCAGGCACCAGCCAGTCCAAGCTCTCCAAGTGGTCCCATATGATCGCCTAGTCCCGAGAGCCCATGCGTCAGCCAGGAGGTGTCGAGTTGCGTCTGAAACCCCTTGGATTTCCCAGGGACTCCCGAAATCCTCCACGCAAGCAGCAGTAACGACCTGTCCACTAGGAGGGGATGCTGGAGGCCCGATGGGTCCAGGAGGAGGGTCGGTAGAGACGGCAGCAGTCTGGGTACGTCTTCCGCCAGTTCCAGGAGTTGTGGGATCAGGTCGGCCGTTTGGCGGCAAACGTGGAGCAGGAACCGAGGGATCATGGCAAACGGGGGGAAGGCATAGGGGAGTGAGCCGGTCCAGTCTTGTAGGAAGGCATCCACTGCCTCCGCGGTTGGATCCAGGCGCCAGCTGTAGAACCTGGGCAATTGGGCATTGAGCCTGGACGCGAAGAGGTTGATGGCAAAAGGACCCCATATAGACGATATAGCAGAGAATACTCCCACATCCAATTTCCAATCACTGCTGTCCAACAGATAGCATGAACTCCAGTCCGCGTGTTGTGGAGCCTCGGAAGGTATTCTGCATGGACCACCAGGTTCCTGTCCAAGCAATAGGCCCAAAAGTCCTTCACCAAGCGGGCTATTACTGCGGATTGAGTGCCACCCATGTGGTTGACATAGCAGACCGATAAGATGTTGTCCATGCTCAGGCGGATGCATGTGCTGGCAGTCCCGTTCACAAAACTCTGGATCGCGAATGAACCCGCCAGGAGTTCCAGAGTATTGATGTTGAGACGGGTTTCGTCTGCTGACCAGCGACCCCCGGTAGTCACCCCGTTGCAGTGGGCACCCCAGCCGTGGAGACTTGTGTCTGAGTCTACCGTGAACTCTGATTGGGAGCCGAAGATGGCCTTGCCATTCCAAGCCGAGAGGTTGTGGATCCACCAGTTCAATTTGTCCCGAGTCTCCGAGTCCAAGGAGATCATGTCCGCATAGGATGCCCCGCTGCGAAGATGTGTGATCTTCAGGCACTGGAGGGCACGGTAGTGGAGTGGGGCTGGGAACACCGCTTCGATTGATGCTGCCAGAAGGCCAATGATCTGTGCCAGGTGGCGCAGAGATAGCTGGGTGCGCGTTAGAGCACTGCGCAGTTCCTTGCGGATTGTCCGTATCTTGGACGTAGGGAGGCTGAGTGACTCTGCTTCGGAATCTACCACGAAGCCTAGGAATTCCATGCGTTGCGAAGTAGATAGGCAGGATTTTTCCCAGTTGAGGAGAAAACCCAGGTGGGAGAGGAGGTCCATCATCCATTGAAGGTGTTTCCGAAGGACTGATCGATCCTGTGCCATGATGAGGATGTCATCCAAGTAGACGATTGCACAGCCAAGCCATGGCGGGGCGCATCAGTTTCGTGAAGCACCAAGGGGCTGACAACAGTCCGAAAGGGAGGCACGTGAAGCGCCAGGTGTCTCCTTTCCAGAGGAAACGTAACAGGTCCCTGCATTCCGCCCTAAGTTTATTACGCGCCGCCTTACTGAGGGGGCGTCGTACCCAGTTTTCAAGGTACCGTGCCACATGGTCCGCCGGTAGCCATTCCGCCGACCTTGGATCATGGAGAGCATCCGGGTCAAACATGGGTTCCCCAGACGGATCCATGAGGGTGGAGCCTGCAGTAGCCGGGGAGTCGCTCCTAGGGCCACTCGCAACCACCACGGAGTGAGCAGGGCCAAAAGGGTCAGTTTTCTGCACACAAAATTCATCATCGGAGTCATCCGCAGACTCAGCGTCAGCCTCCTCACTAGACCGGATTTCTGAGTCAGAGTCAGAGTCACTCTTTTTGTGCTCTAGCACATTTCCACTGCCACACCCGTTCTGCCTGGCATGGAAAGGCTCTCTTGTGTGACGTAGGCACGCTGTCATGGGTGGCTAAAGTCACACCAGTCGTGTTGGTTCTGGAGGCACGGAGATTTGAGTGCCTGGATTTGGCAGTAGCCTTTTTTGGTGCCTCCCCTATAGAGTCAATAGTTAAAGAGCCGAACGTTCGGCAAAAAAGAGACAAATTCAATGGGATAAATAGACAAAAGTAATGAATAGGAAACAGGCAAATGCACTGACTGTTCGAATAAAAAGTAGCCGGCTAAACAGACGAATGAAGCTAAGTGTAGAAAAACAAACGAACGGCATGTGTTCGTGAAGAATTTGCCGAATTGGTTAGAATTCTTTCACGAAAACAGCTGAAGAGAACGGAAAACATGCTTCCATTATATCCCCCCAAAATGAAAGCACATGTGAATGCTTGGGCTCATCCAGAATTTGAATCCAGGACCTCTTACACCATCAGTGAGAACCATACCTCTAGACCAACAAGCCATTCTGATGTAGTATAACTCACTAGCTAAATTCAGGGTGCAAGCTGAAAATGTCTAATCATCTAAAATTATCAAATGTGGATAAGGAATTGGAAATCTGAGAGTCTGAAAACTGGGATTGAGTGTTTATGAGAACAATTTCTCAGTCTTTGAAACTATCATTTTGTTAAATCACTGCAAGAGCAATAATCCCCATATTGAAACACACCTTATTGAATAGCAATGAAATATCAAAGAAAGAGAAGTCTTACAGAATTGTATTCCTGTAAATAATGCATGCTTCCAAAAAGTCAGAAAACCAATGAGAGTACTACCTTCCAGTCATTTCCCCTCAAATCCTAACAATTTAATAGAGATGGAGTAGCATGCATCTCTGAATTAACGGAAACGTTTTCAAAAATGTATTCATGTGACACCAGGAGCATGCATATGCAGTGCTGTTTTCATTAAAGGGACACTATAGACATCCAGAATACTTCATCTTCTTGAAGTGTTCTGAGTGCTGTGTCTCTTTCCCCCTTGGTCCTGCAATGTAAAACATTGCAGTTTTTGAGAACTAACACCACCAGTAGCTTCCTAAAGTATCTGGGTATCAGCTACACCTTGCTGATGAAGCCCTATAAAGGCCAAAACAATTGTCCGGGGTTGCTGTATCTCCAGTGGCGTACACACAATCCATGTGGCCCTGGTGCGAAACTGCTCCATGGCCCCCCTGCCTCTCTCCCCTTCCCTCCCCTCTCTCCCCCGATCCGTGGGGCCCCCGAAACATACTTAGACACATACACACAGACAGACAACTCCCGACAGACACATACATACAGACACACACACACAGACACATACATACACGCATACACACAGACACATACATACACAAACATACATACACACACACATACAGAGACACCCACATACAGAGACACACACACAGACACATACATACAGACACACACACATACAGACACACATACAGAGACACAGACACATACAGACACACACACATACAGAGACACACACACACATACAGAGACACACACACATACAAACACACATATAGAGATACAGACACATACAGACACACACATACATACACATACATACAGAGACACACACATACACAAAATTCTTCCTACCTTTTGTTACTTTCCCTGGGGTCCAGTGGGGGCTCAGCCTGATGAGAGTCAGAGTTCCCACTCTGACTCCCTCTTCCTTCCTGCTTCCTCCCGCGCAGGCTGATAGCTGGGAGGAGTGACGTGTGGTCACTTCCTCCGAGCAGTGATGTCATCACAGTGGGCCCGGTCGCGCTGCTAAAGCTTCCAGCACAGACCGGGCCCCCTGATAATCCATATCCATCGGGTGGCCCTGACAGCATGGGCCACCCGTTGGACCCCTCCATATGCGGCCCCGGCGGTGTCGGGCCCGGTCGCAGCTGCGACCCCTGTGACCACGGTATTTACGCCGCTGTGTATCTCTTGTGCAGAAGAAACTTGCCAGAATTTTGCATCTGAACTGCCATGTGATCAGTCTGATATGCAAATGATATAGGTTCTCTCTGTAATGACAGAAGTGAGCAAATAAAATTTTGAGATATGGGGACTAAACAGAGGGCAAAATATTGCGCTTTTTCTGAGCTTTTACCTGTTCTCTGAGTTCTCATATTCACTGTTTTTACTGTAATAACATATATGCCAGTGTTAGGGTGTGCTTGGGCAAACTTGGCAGATACCTCGCCTATCCTATGTTAACAGGACAGTTGGAGTGGGTCGGGTTCTAAGCTACAATTTGAAACAGTACAAATTAAGAACTGTATTCAGCTTTTTGTCTCTATAATCCTTGACATGCACTGCCAGTTGAGCTGCAGTAAACCCTTGCTGATCACTATGTTGTTTTGCTGAGTTTTGTTTTTATTTGTACCTCAGTACAATACAACATAGAGTCGGATCCGTTTTCTCGGGATTAGGTACAATCAGACACAGATGAGAGTTCTGTGTTGTTAATTCCAAAGGAGAGTATTACAAAACAAATTCTTTAAACTTGTAAGTGAGCTTTTGCATGATATTGTGTATTATATAAAAACTAGTAAAAGGGTTGAAAAAAGAAGAGTATTGAGTAAGAAAGATAAGCCTGACCACAGCATTTATTATAGACAGTAAGAGGATAATGTCAGACACACGTTGGATGACAAGTCTGTTATTAATTTCTCTAAAGTGATACACTTCAATGTAAGAATAGAGAAAGTAAAACCAAGATTTTGATGGGGAAGGAGCTCCCGGCGGGCGAGCAGAAAATAAGGCGATATCAGCAGCTGTGTAGCCCAAAGACATACTAGGGTGCTCTACCCACGTTGGGGGAGCCCCAAAGAATCGGGGGATACCCTTTTGGATCTTGTAGGGGCACATAGACCGCAACGCAAATTGAGGCCTGCAGGAGTTGGAGCCGGGGAGAGGCGGCCGCTCTATTTGACTCCAGATACCCCAGAAAGCACGACTGAACTCCTACCCCCCCCCCGGACCTGTGGGGGATATCCCAGTCCCTACAAGACAAGCAGGCTAATGCAGAAGGCAAGGGAGACAACGTTGACAGCGGCGAAGGCACGAGCCAGACAGAGTGTGCCCAAGATGGCCGCCCACCGACAACTAAAGAAAGCAAACAAAATCAACCAGGAGCACCCTCATCCTCTGGTAGCCCTAGACCGTCTCTGCTCGACTTTCTGCAGGATACTGTGTGACAGGGGAATGCCCTACCCTCATGCAGCACGGGTGGTAGCCTCGTGGGTTCGTCCAGAGACCCGCTGACGCCGATATGGAGACCCACTGCGGACCTTCAGGGAGGTAGCCTGGCCACACAGGCATCGACCCACGACAGGGCGAGAAGCGAACCTCTCCGGCCCGGGCACACTCACCCACCTCCACAAACAGGGTAAGGTGAGGGACGGGTACCCCCAAGGCCCCAGCAACACGCCAAAACACAATACCACAGAACACCAAGCTCCCATGTGGCGACCCAGGGCTGAAACAGAGCGGCGCGCTGCGGCAAGGGCAACAGACACACCGAGCCGCTGGGGGAGCCGGACTTGCAGAAGCCGTACAGACACTTTAGACACCAAGCGCTTCCCTGCCCAGTAGAGGAATCGGCTGACCACCGACATGCCAGGCAATGAGGCAAGCTCACAGACGCCATCGGCAGAGAGCCTCAACACTCACCTGGAACTATGCTATATATGTGCCAGTAACTTGTGCCTCGGAACATTATTTTGCTTTTTTCACTATTATTTTTCGGTTTCACTACCTAGTCCTGTATATTTTCGGCGGCCTTTTCTTGCACACTCTCTCCTCCTGCTGCTTTTTGTAGTTTAGATGTGCAGTTACTAGACAGGGCAACGCAAGCTTCTCACCTGTCGGAGCTAAGTAAGCGATTTATAGGTAACAAAGCACAGTGTTTATAACGCACAGCTCAGAGTAAAGGGGATCTTTATTTCTTTTACTGAGAGATCATTTGACGTAATGTTAGCGAGAATGCCTAAAATACTACTATGTACATATGTGTAACCAAACATAGTGCTTATAAAGAACGGAGTAGAGTAAACACGCCCTCTGTTTGTCCTATGGAGATATAATCTGCTGCGATGCTTGTGCGAACGACTGAAACACTTTTTATATTACTTATTATAGCGAAACTACAACTACACATGTTTAAGCCAGTTTAACTTGTAACTCACTATAGAAATGTCCAAGCCTGAAGAAACATTAGCAAGTTATTAAATTTGATCGTCAACTTTCTAACTAAGTTCTGTCATATCCTAACAATACCTGCGTAACGTAAAACTAGATTGTGTATAACTTATGTACCTCTATGTTTGACTGTTTTAATCCGCCGGAGGATTGCCTTTGGGGTACCTTCAGAGCGATTGTTATAAGCTTACGCACAACAAAAATAAAGAATTATAAAAAAAAAAACAAAAAAACAAGATTTTATTAACCTCAGAAGCAGATTGTTTAAAAGGAACATACACAATAAGCATTTTAATCTAGAGAGTCAAAGATATGCACACCTGCAGAAAGGACCAGAATATCCATTAAGACAGACATGGCACTTGTCTTAAGCATCAGATTTTTGTGAGTGATGTTCTAGGTTAGTTTTGCTTAATGTTAGTGGTACCCATGTTCCAGACATTTTTCTGGCCTGAACACCATAGATTAGTGGTTCCTAACCCGGTTCTCAATTCACAAAAAAAAAATGATTTAGGTATTTCTCAATTCTGTTCCAACTGAGGATACTGACAAATTATAGACCATGGGTGTAATTTAGAAATTGGATTGGGAATCAAAAGAATAGTGATAAGGCATCTAAAAATACATTTAAAATAAATCTGTTTTGCATCAGGGATGTGAAATTTCTCCATCAGCTTATGGTCATAACAAATGAACTTTAGCCAAATTCCATCTGAAAGGGGACCATTAGGAAAAAATATTATAATGGGTTCCAACCAGAAGCATTACTAAGGGGAGCTAACCCTGGTTGGAACCCCAAAGAGGGCTCATCAAAAGCCATACTAATTTCCAATAACCCATTCTACTTCTTTAAATTGTGTTATGATTTAACATAAAAGAGGCAGATCTTTGAATAGTATAAAACTATTGGGTAGAAGGGACCATAACAAGGCCCCGGGTCTCCTACATTTTACCAATGTCCCTGATTCTCTTAGTCTATAGATCTCCATAAATGTCACATTTTGATTTTCCAGATGAACTAATAGTGTTCCTATATGTAGGCACAAATTAAAGTTACAGACCCCAAAAGGTATCAATACAAGATTTTCATTAAGATGCTGGTAGGAAATTCTACTTTTGAAATTACTTCAGCAGAGGTAAATATACTTTTTTTGGAATAAAATGGCTGTTCTTTTATAGATAAGTACAAATTCTGCCATTCTAGCTTTACATGCATGGGTCATGGCTTACTTAGCTAGTGGAATGTGCTCTTCTCACACTGTGTAATGAT